ACTCAGACATATGTTTATGTATCAATAAAGGCCTCTTTGAGACTTAAACCAGTACAATGAGGACTATTTTCAAGGCACTAATCTTTCTATTTAGAAGTGTTCAGTGTAGAAGTTGGTGGACTTGGTTGGTTAACATAGCTTGGCTGAATTTTAAGCTCAGCTGTTTTTAAGAAGGAAAGTCCCAACTTCGTAAGTAATTTTTAAGACAAACCAAAAATTTGGAATATAAAAATTCAAGATATAATTCTCTAAACTTCACTTTGATTTTTTTCCAAACTTTGATAGCTCATTTGTAGCTTTGGGCTCCGCCGCTAACCAATTGTAAGTTATAATAAAAAACAATTACCAACTCTCTCATCGGTGGCGTCGGCGGCGGTAAAGATGACTGATACAACATCACTAAATTATAGAATTGCATAAAACCCTTCAAAAGTGAAATTAAAAATTTTTGGTTGTTTATTCTTTTTTTTGCCTTTCTCTTGTGTTTTTTCTCATTTGCTCGTTCACTCACTTTCAGCCTTCGAAGATTTCTGGTTTTCACGTTCAGTGCAGCCTTACTGTGTCTGTTGGTTGGTGTGACTTTCAGTCAATCATTATGAGGAATAACCGGTCACTCCAAATTCATTGCTTACCATTACTGTTGATCTTTTTCATAATTACGCATAAACATATATTGTATGTGTTACTGTGTGTGTGAACTTGAATGAAAACTTGTTGGCTTTGTCAAAAGTTTATATTTATTATTTTGGTTTTTTACCACACATTAAGTGCTTTCAGTTGCTTGATTTTGTTACTTTCAAATCATTTTATATTTTAAATTTTTTATTAATGTTTTCAAAATAATTTTTCAACCAGACTTCTTAAAAAAATGGTTATCTCTACTGCTTATCTCCAAAAATTGTGTTTGGGTAAAGACTGACTGTATTTGTAAGAAAAGTTATATGTTACCTAAAATATAAAAATAAAACATAGTTAAGTATATAAAAAGTTGAAGTCTATTTAACTGCGAAGGTCTAATAACAAGAGGAAATACCGGTAGATAGACATATATAAGAATTTAAAACTTAAAACGGAAATACACAAATTAAGAAAGAAATCTAGAAATTAAATTTAAAAAATGTTTATTCTATAAATTATTAAATAATTCAAAAAAAACTAAAAGTATAAAGAAGCACAAATTAAATATTTTTTACACATTAAACTCTGGTTTTACCTAGCTTAGTCGATAAGCTACACAAGCTGAAAGGATTTTATAATTATATATGTTAAATTATACAAAAAATTATGGAAAATAATTTTTTCACATTTTTTACTTACATCTGCCCCTTGTTAGCTCATGCAAATCACTTCGCCAAAACTTTTTCAAGTTAACATCTCTATTCCTTAAGCTTAAACAGCGCAAGTTCGTGTGGTTAGTCTTTCATGTTATCCCAATTCCATATTCCATATTCGCGTGACTCATCTCAATAGTGTATTACATAAAATACGCCCGTTCCCAGGGAGTAGAACATATATATTTATACATTATATTAATTTTATCTTGAGAGATTAGCAAAAGTTGCCTTTGCATTAATTTATGACCGAACAGCTGGCGTTTCGCTGCTTTCGACAGCTGCCCGTGTGCAGTGTTCTCCGCTTCGTCAGTCGGTAGACAGCTTATACACAGTTAATAGAAACAAATTATAAACAATTAAAAAGCTGAATTTTTGGGTACGCCGTTCATATTTCGCAGAACTTCTCAAAAATAAAATATTGTAATTAAGCTTGCAAGGAGCGCGTCAATCAATATTTTACAGTTAATTATTAAAATCTTAGAACCACATTCAAGGTTAACGAAAGAAAAAAATATAACAAAGTGTATAACAGATTAACTAAATTATTCTAAGTACGCCTAGTAGTGTATTATGTGTTGAAATATCGAAAATTAAGGACAAAAAGGTTTCATAGAAAATTTCTTACAATAAAGCAGAAATTTCTTATAAGAAACACTAAAAGTTTCTAAAAACTATTCTAAGAAAACTTTCGTTTCCTTTTTTTCTCTTAGAAGCCAAAATTGTGTTATAAAATGTATTTAAAAATTTTGTTTTATTTATATTTTTAAAAAATTGGCAACTTCGCGTAAAAACTTAT